GATTGACAATGGGAGAAGGTGGCAAAAGAGAAAATTTCTTCTATTTTCATATTCCTGAATTTACCTGCCTTTGGCACGACAAGCCTTACGTTCAGTGTTTCCACAACTTAAGCAGCACACTTCTCAGCTGTGCTCCTTCCTCCCTTGTGCTGCCATCAGGCAGAATTCAGTCATAAAACACCTCCAAATTCTTAAATGGAGAAGTAAACTAGAGTATAGATGTTTTGTTTTGTTTTGGGTTTTGGTTGGTTGGTTGGTTTTTTTGTGGCATACTCCTAGGCTTGCTTTCTGTGAGGCTAGATGACTGCCTGTCTTGAAACAGATGCCCTCAGTTCTCAAAGACATGACTTGAGGGTTTATCTTGGAATTAGGTGATTTTAGGACATTCGGCAAAGCTGATCCATTTTCCAGGGATGAAACACGAAGAGAAAATGGAGCTTGTGGAAAAGTGCTGAAGGATTTTTTTTCCCCTAATGATTACTTAGAACAAGTAAACACGGTTTCTAAATGTAGATTAAGATCTACAAGGACTAAGCAAACTGAAAAGCAAAAAAAAGAACTAAAAAAAAAATCCCAAAGTGTGTTTTGAATCTCTCACAGGGGAAAATTGTATTCTATCACTATAGTATCCTGTCATATCTGGTAAATACTAAAGAAATCCCAGCTAATTTCATCTTAGGCTCTGTATCAGCAAAGACTACATGACAGGACACCCCTTACCCCTGCAATTCTGCAATGACAGCAGTGTGTTGGTTTTGGCTCTGCAACTGTTAAAAGATTTTTCACACTGGACTTGGGTATAACTTATCTTGGGTTAAATTAAAAGTGCTATGAGTAGAATTTACCTCTTTGCCTTTGGTATGGTAAATCTATGGATAGGTATCTATGCCCTGTTTTTCCTTCCTTTCCTCCTCTGCTCTAGAATCAGCAGAAACGTCGTCACTGACTTCTCAGAGAGCCCTATGTACAAACAGAAGGATTTGCACCAAAGTATCTACTTGATATAAATTTATAAATTAATAGATCTTTACAAAGATTTATGTAAAAGAATACTATTTCAGAAATGTTTATGACATGAGACCCTAAATAACTGTTTTGGCAAGAAAAAGATTTGTTTAGCAATTTTTCATTTTAAGTTGCATCTACAAAATCAAATTTATCACTCACATAAGAAGTGTGTATGAATTCACGGTCTTCAATGCAGTCCCATCTGTTTAGGTTAGCAGCTAATTTAGGAGTCTGAAGTTAGAAATCAAAAGCTGGGTGGGCAGCTGACCAAAGCAATCTTGCTCTCAAGTGCTGAACATGTGTAGCTCTCATTTATAGCAGGAAAGGGATCACCACTTCAATGATAATAGATATTTATTCTATTTAGGAAGAATAGCTTCAAAGTTTGGCCCCTTATTGAAAGGGCTACAAAGCTCCCTTCAAAATAGATAAAACTATTTCTTCAAGTCTTTTCAGATGCAGAACTCTAACCTGTATGTTTTCCTCTTCAGACTCCAGATACCAGATTCACAGATCAATCTACCACAGAGCTTTGGAAAAAGAATGTTGCGATTTTAAGCTCATTAATAATCAACACACAAAAAAAACCCAGAAAGGCTATGTTGATTTGTTTTAAATAAGGAAGCACCAAACTGACACAAACATTTTGGATTTAAATTACTCAGCATTTGTCCAGGTTACCATCTTGGGCCCAAAGAAAAGTTACTTGTGACTGATTTCCCTCCTTGCAACTCTTTACAATGTAACTTGTCCTATGTCTAAAGAATATATCAAAATATGCCCTGTGAATCACTGAGGTACTGCTCCATTTATATCTCGTGTCAATTCCCACCAGAAGAGGATTTGGGACCTTTTAGGACTCTGGATTTAAATAGGAAGAAGTCATTGCAAGGTCAAGATTTTCTAATCTTTCTGAATACAACAAATTAATTACTTGCAAGTCTTGGTTTATTATTTCATCTTCTGTTTTACAGTGCAAATTCAAAAGTAAACCTCCTTGTCAAGAAAATGAATGCTTAGCATTTATACAGTGTTTTATGAATTTAAACAAACTTGTAAACACATCAGTCCTCCTACAAACCCTGTTTTCTTAGGATGTTAAAAGATCGCAACATTGGGCCATTGATGTAGTTCACCGGAGTGACCCAATCCAATGCCAAAGACTTGCTGTTTTGTTTTCTTTTTTGTTCCCTAGCTACATAGTTACTGACTTCTCTGGGACAACACATACTTCACAGTCAGTGCAATGGGACCTCACTTATGGTATGGAAATCACAAATTTTGACATCTGTGGAGGCGCTTTGGACTTACACCAGCACACCCAAACCCAGACCTGTCATTCCATCTACAGATAGCTGTACTTCTGGTGATGCAAGGAGTCCACAAACATACACCACATCCACCTGCCTGTTTCCTGGCTGTTTCTAGATGTAGCTTTGCTAAGCAGACAGAAAGGTCCCTGAAGGAACACTTCTGTCTGGAATGCACCCCACAGGGGCAGGTGCACTTTTCCACAATGCCTCAGAGCAGAAAAATAAGAGTGCTCACAAAGTCTGGAGGGGGGAAGAAGAAACACTGTGGAGAGCTGGTGTCCTGCAGGTGTTTTTGCAAATACAGAAAGAGAGGGGAATACATGTTTCTTGGTGGCGGCAGTTCTGGGTTCACTGCGATGAAACAAATAAGCAAAGAGGCAAACCCCAGCCTTGCTTC